GGAAGCATTTTTCTAGAAATATGTCCACTTCATTTAAATTTTCAAAATTTTTCTATAAAGTTTATAATATGCACTTATCTTTCTAGTACCTGTAAAATCTAAGGCAATATCCCCTTTTATTTTCCTGATATTGATTGCCTATGCCTTTCTCCTCTTTTCTTATTTATTCAGAGTTTCTCAGTTTTATCAATTTTTCAAATATCTTGGCTTTTTGATTCTCTAAATTTGTTTCCTATTTCATTAATAACAGTTTTTATCTTTATTATACTTTCTTTGGACTGAATTTGTTGTTCTTCTCCAAACTTCGTAACATATATGGTTAGGTTATTGATTTTTCAGCCTTTCTTTTCTAATATATGTAATAAAACTATAAATTTTTCATTAGGTGTGGAGTGACTGTATCCTACAAGTTTTGCTATTTCATATTTTTCTCATTTGTATTTAGCTCAAAATATTTTCTAATTTACACTGCAATGTATTCTATGACCTATTTGTTATTTAGAAGTTACTGCTTAATTTCCAAACATTTGTGGAGATTTTTGTATGTTTCTTTCTATCATCGAAATCTAGCTTCATTCCACTGTGGTACAAAACAAATTACGCACGATTTTAATCCTTTAAAATTTGTTGAAATTTTCTTTATGATAAGCACATAGTAAATTTTCAGAAGTCTCATATTCATTTCAGTAGGATGTGTATGTTGTATTTGTAAGATACAGTGTTCAATATATATTAGTTACTGTCTTATGAATTTTGTGGAACTCTTCTATAGCCTTATAATATTTTTGTTTACTTGTTCTATCAGTTGCTGAGAGAAGTATGTTACCTATTATAATTATAGATTTGTCAATTTATCCTTATAATTCTGTCATTTTTTTGTTGTACATATTATGAGGCTATGTTATTAAGTACATATCAATTTAAATTGTTATATCTTCCTCATGAACTAGCCATTTATTGTTATGAAATATCCTTCTAGTTATACTTTTGTCTTAAAGTCTACTCTACAGATGTTAATATAGCAAAAACAATAGCTCTCCTTTAACATTTGAATAACATCTTTTTCCAACATATATCAGACTTAAGTGTGTCTCCTATAGATAGTATGTACTTTTTTTCCCATCTAGTCTGACAATCTTTGTTTCTAAGTTACAGTATTTAGTCCATTCTTATTCAGTATCATTACTGCTTAAATCTATTTGGTTTAAATCCACCATATTACTACTTGGTTTCTAATATCCTACCTGTTTTACATTTCTTTTTCTCTTTTCTAACTTTTTTGGATGAATTACATCTTCGTCAGTTAATTTTTGTCATATCAGCTTTTTAATTACATATCCTTTTACTGGTCTTTTCATGCTTACCTTAGACATTACAACACAACACCTACCCTTGGACTTATTAGAGTATATTATAAAAAAAAAATACTTTAACACTACTAATACTTTACTCCAACAATCCAAGTATCCTATAGTACCTGAACTCTATTTACCCTTTCCAACCTTATTTATGATCATTATGCACTACCATAAATTGTGAAAGATTATTATTACTGCTGGTTTTTCCATCACTATTCATTTAGATTTCCCCTATACTTACGCTTTTGACTTTTTCTTCATTCTTTCCTACCTCTCTGTGCTTCTGACTAGGATCATTCTTTAATATTTCTTTTAGAGTAAATCTTATGGTGTAAGGTAAATCTGCTTTGTTTGCTTGAAAATATCCTTACTTAAGCTTTCTTCTTCATGTATACTTTCAGTGGGTATATACTTTCCTACAGGAAGATAAGAAAAACATTTCACTGTCTCCTGGCTTCCATTATTTCTTTTGAAAAGTCAGTAGTTGTTTTTTTGAAGATAATATGCTTTTTCTCTGGCTGGTTTTAAGATTTCCTCATTGTCTTAAGTGTTCAGACATTTTTTATTATGTGTCTAGGTATTGTTTTCTTTTATATATCTGCTTGGAGTTGATAATACGTCTTGAATCTGTGGCTTGATATCTTCCACCAGTTTTTAATAATTGCAGTTATTTAACTCCCCAAATTACTGTAGTTCCCTTCCAATCTGAATGTAAGCTTCAACAAATTGTCACAGTTTTGATAGTGTTATGATACCTACACACACACACATAAACACCAACTTTCCAGTTGTTCTTAAAAGAATCTTACTCTGAAAGAACCCTAATTAGTGATTCTACAAATTGATCCTTTAAAAACTGAATCAGATTGCTCTGTTTCCAAAAAAAAAAAAAAAATCATTTAGTGACTTCCCATCGCATCTACAATAAAAAGCACAAATGTTACCCTATTTAGAAGATCATCATTTTCTAACCCCTGTCTGTAAATCTGACTTTAAGTTGTATTACTCCTGATTTGTTCTGGAATTGGTATTTTTTCTATATCATTAACCTTCCAAGTTGACTCCCACATTCAGATCCCTGAACTGTTCCTTTTACCTAAAATTCTTCAACTAATCAACAAGGTTAGTTCCTTCTTATTTTTCTATTTTAAGCTCAAATATCCTTTTTTAACACAAAATCTCCTCTGATCAATCTAAAGCACATCCCTCACAACAATTCTATATATTAATAGCACCATTCTTAACGGTATGCATATCACTTCTCAATATCTAATTTCTCCATTCATTTGTTTATTGTCTTCAGAAGAATAGGTACTTCATTCATCTTGTTTATTATTATATCCCCAGAGCATAAAATATTAGCTAATCCTGTAGTAGGTGTTGAATATTTGTTAAATAAATTAAGGTATGAATGAGTGAGTGTAGAAATCAAAGAAAGGTAAGGTCATGTTTGGAGGTATCAGTCTGGAAGTAATTAGATAGTATCTGAAGTCAAGAGGTCCAATGAGATTTCAGTGAATAGATATATTTTAAAAGAGAAGGTCAAGGACATAAGCCATGGGAATTTTCCAATGTTTTGAAATGAAGCAAAAGATGAGAGATTAGTAAAGAATATTGAGAAAGAGCAGCTGATAGATTAGAGGTATATAAGGAGAATGCACTGTTAAGATCCAAGAAACAAACAACCAAAACTTCCATGAAAAAGGGAATGAGCAATTCCACACCCCTAAGAGGGTGAGTAAGATGAGGAAGACGAACAACTGACCACTGTATTTAGCAACTTATAGACCATAGGTTATTTAACACAAATCAGTTTCAAGTTTGGAGACAAAAAATTGAGAGAACTGATTTTAAATGAGTGGTAAACATAAAATGATGGGAAGCACAGAAAACTCTTTGAAGACTCTTTGCTGAGAAAGTAAACCATTCACTAGGAGAACTGGATGGAGTGGAACATCTTGGTGGTGGGGGAAATATTGTTCAAGGCCAAAGCAGAAATATTTGATAGGTACTTAAACATACATATGTCAAGCTTACAGGAGACTTTATGGCTGAATATATAAATTTCAGATTTGTCAACCTATACATAGGATTTAAAGTTACACAGCCAGTTGAGACCCCTCCACTCCGCCCAAGGGAGGATAAAATACAGAAAAGGAACTAAGGACTCAATCTCAGGCACATCAACATCAGAGCCTGTAATATGAGACCAAGAAAAATAGGTAATGAGGTCAAAAGAAAAAACTAAAGAGAATGGGGTCTCTGAAGGAGGATGTAACCACCTGCATCAAATGCTGCTGATACATGAAGCATATGTGAAATGAAAATGGATAGTTGGACATAGTAAGATAAAGGGCATCTTTTAAATCATCATGAGAGCTTCAGTGGATTTTTGAGACAGAAAGATAACCTGAATAAAAGAAAATAGAAAGTGAAGAAAAAATACAGGTATATCTTGGGATGGGTTTTGGTATAGTAGAGAAAAGATAAATGGTGCATAAAGGAAGATGTTGGATGAGGGAGGGGATTTAAATAAGAGACATTTCAGCATGAACACATGCTGTAGTGAATGTTTCAGAAAAAAAAAGAAGAAGTTGATAAGGTAGGAGAAAAAGTGAATAACTACTAACTACAAAAGCAAATTGTTTGAATAGGCAAGAGAGAGTGAGATCCTGTGCCAAAATAAAGGACAGAAGGACAATTTATCCACAAAACAGTAGTGAAGGTTAAAGTATGTGGATACAAATTCAATAGGCTGGATGAACAGATGCTGGAAAAATGAAATTCTTTCCTAATAGAGAGCAAGTTTTCAGTGAAAGAAAAATCAATGTCATCTTCTGAGATAAAGGAAAGGAAGAATCTATTGCAGCTTTTGCCAAAGGTCTGTGAGAGTATCTAAATTCCAATGTGAAAGGCACCAATACTGTACACTAATGCATATATATGGAATTTAGAAAGATGGTAACAATAACCCTATATGTGAGACAGCAAAAGAGACACGGATGTATGGAACAGTCTTTTGGACTCTGTGGGAGAAGGCGAGGGTGGGATCATCTGAGAGAATAGCATTGAAGCATGTATATTATCATATGTGAAACTGATTACCAGTCCAGGTTCAATGCATGAGACAGGGTGCTCAGGGCTGGTGCACTGGGATGACCCTGAGGGATGAGATGGGGAGGGAGGATCAGGATGGGGAATATATGTAAACCCATGGCTGATTCATGTCAATGTATGGCAAAAACCACTGCAGTGTTGTAAAGGAATTAGCCCCCAATTAAAATAAATAAATTAAAAAAAATAAAGCTATTGAGTAAAAAAGCAAAAAAGAAAAGTGAGTTTTGAGAGATATTTTGATATTTTATGACTTATGAATTCTAGGCACGCAAATAAAAGAGTAGTTTGATGTGAAAAAAAAAAGAGATCAAGGCTAAAATGTTGGCAGTCCAGTCAAACTCTGTTGATATTCATCATGTAGATAATGGATAGAAGTTTTTCATGGCCATCTTCCATTTTTAAAGCTGGACTACCTAGGAAAAGATGTAGGTTTATAAATGTGAAAATTTATTATAATAATTGATATGACCTACAAAATAAAAGAAATAAATGTACATTTTAACTTCTTTCTAGGTTCACCTATAGTTCCAAAAGATGTCGACTCTCCTGGAAAACATCAATGGCATCATCGAAATATTTCACAAATATTCAAAAACAGATAAGGAGACTGACACATTAAGTGAAAAAGAGCTGAAGGAACTTCTGGAATTGGAGTTTCGGCCCATCTTGAAGGTAAAAGTTATTTGCCAGATAAAATGTTATATCATTTTTTTTCTGCATCAAAAAATGTCAAAATATTACTGTGAAATCTTTATGAGTTGTTTCTCTTAGAATAGGAACAAACATAATTTTATTTCAAAACAGATAAAATTTGTTCAGCTCTTTATACCTCTATATCTATTACACACACACATTGTCTATGGAAAAACATAAATATTTAGTTAAAAAGAAGTAAACAAAAGTTAACTTATCATAATATTCCCCCTAATTTCAAGAATGTAAAGAGGGTGTGTCTAAAAGATAATTCCTTTGAGAAAATTCATAAAATGCTGACATTTGAAGAATTAAAAGAACATGTCCCACCAAATTTTTTGTGTCACCATACTAGCATTTAAGATTTAAGTCTTTTAGGACAGTACCGACATCTCTTTACTAAGTCAAGATAAAACAAACGTTATTAAAGAAAACATTAGGTTCTACTTTTATATAGCAAGAATTCACATTTCCAAAGTTCACTTTAATTATTTAATCTTCCACGTCAGTCACTCTCATGTACTCTCCCTGTCTTCCCTGTTTACAGTATCCTGATGACCCAGACACCACTGAAGTTTTCATGCATATCCTCGATGTAGATCACAACAAGAAAATAGACTTTACAGAGTTTTTTCTGATGGTATTCAAATTGGCTCAAGCATATTATGATTACACTCAAAGACACAATTTAGAGACAGCAGGACAAAAACAGAAAAAGTATACATACCACTATGAAGATGAAGAAGATGGTACAGAAGAAGACAAAGAAGAAACAAAAAGAAAGAACAGTCATTCAAGAAGAAGTGATGGAAAGAATCAAGATAGATCAAAGAGCCCAAGAGGAAGAGGAAAAAAAAGACATGGGTCTAAATCTGGAAGTAAACAAAGAGGAGGTGACTCACCTACCTCTGGACACAGACATGGATGTAGCAAAAACCATCATGAGTCAAGAAGGGAAAAGAAAAGGAGATCAAGCTCTACTGAACTAAAAGAAAGAAGGCACATGTCAAGTGTCAGCCCCATCAGGAGATATGAAGAAAAAGAAGAAGAATGTGGTTATGAAAATAAAGGTAAAGGAAGAGCAAAATGCATAGGATCAGAGTATGATGACTCGTATCAAGTTTGTGAAGACCAAGTGACCACGAATTTTCAATCCAGTCACAATACAAACTATGGGTCAAACATCACTAAGGGCAGAGACACGGAAGAACATTCACGAGATACAGGTATTAAATCCGTGATCACTCATGGAAGATCAGGGTCCAGTTCAAGGAATGAAAATGGCTCTATCTTGACTCATACAGGAGATAGTTCTACCCACTCAGAATCCCAAAAAGAGGAGCACAGTGAATCTGTCCCTGGAAGGTCAAAAAACACTGGGCAAAGACAGGGGAGCCACCATAAGCAGTTAAGGGACAGCTCCAGACACTCTGAAACTGGACATGCACAAACCTCTGCTGGATCCGGAAGCAGTAGACACAGGCAATCCAGTGCTAGTCACTCCAGTGACAATGAAGGACATTCAGAAGACTCAGGTAGACAGTCCGTGACAACTCAAGGAAGGTCGGGTTTCAGCTCAAGCAACCAAAGGGGATCTTCCCATGGTCACACAGGAGACAGTTCTAGGCACTCAGCATCTCATCAAGGGAGGCAGAGTGAATCTCTCCATGAAAGGTCAGGATCTAGGAGTGGGCAAAGAGAGGGGAGCCACCATGAGCAGTCAAGAGACAGCTCCAGACATGCTGGAACCAGTCATGGACAAACCTCCACTGGATCCGGAAGCAGTAGACACAGGCAATCCAGTGTTAGTCAGGCCAGTGACAGTGAAGGACATTCAGAAGACTCAGGTAGACAGTCCGTGACAACTCAAGGAAGGCCTGGTTCCAGCTCAAGAAACCAACATGGATCTGTCCATGGACAGACAGCAGACAGTCCGAGACACTCAGAGTCCCACCAAGGTAGCCACAGTGATACTGTTCACAGAAGGTCAGCATCCAGCACCGGACAAAGAGACGGGAGCCACCATGAGCAGTCAAGGGACAGCTCCAGACACTCTGGAACTGGACATGGACACACCTCAGCTGGATCTGGAAGCAGCAGACATAGGGAATCAAGTGTAAGTCAGTCCAGTGACAGAGAGGGACATGCAAGAGATTCAGGTAGACAGTCTGTGACACGTCACACAGGATCTCATTCCAGATCAAGAAATCAACATGGATCTTCCCATGGCCAGACAGAAGACAGTTCTAGGCACTCAAACACCAATCAAGGGAGCCACAATGAGAGACACACAAGAGATTCAGGTAGGTATTCCGACACAACTCATGGAAGGTCTGGTTCCAGCTCAAGGAGCCAACATGGATCCTCCCACGGACAGACAGGAGATAGTTCGAGGCACTCCGAGTCCGACAAAGGGAGCCACAGTAATACTGTTCACGGAAGGTCAGGATCCAGCACTGGACAAAGGGTGGGGAGTCACCATGAGCAGTCAAGAGACAGCTCCAGACATGCTGGAACCAGTCATGGACAAACCTCCACTAGATCCGGAAGCATTAGGCACAGGCAATCCAGTGTTAGTCAGGCCAGTGACAGCGAAGGGCATTCAGAAGACTCAGGTAGACAGTCCGTGAAAACTCAAGGAAGGCCTGGTTCCAGCTCAAGAAACCAACACGGATCTGTCCATGGACAGACAGGAGACATTTCTAGGCACTCAGAGTCCCACCAAGGGAGCCACAGTGAATCTGTCCACCAAAGGTCTGGATCCAGTACGGGGCAAAGACAGGGGAGCCACCATGACCAGTCAAGATACAGCTCCAGAAACTCTGCAACCAGTCATGGACAAACCTCCACTGGATCCGGAAGCAGTAGACACAGGCAATCCAGTGTTAGTCAGACCAGTGACAGCGAAGGGCATTCAGAAGACTCAGGTAGACAGTCCGTGACAACTCAAGGAAGGCCTGGTTCCAGCTCAAGAAACCAACATGGATCTGTCCATGGACAGACAGGAGACATTTCTAGGCACTCAGAGTCCCACCAAGGGAGCCACAGTGAATCTGTCCACCAAAGGTCTGGATCCAGCACGGGGCAAAGACAGGGGAGCCACCATGACCAGTCAAGAGACAGCTCCAGACACGCTGGAACCAGTCATGGACAAACCTCCACTGGATCCGGAAGCAGTAGACACAGGCAATCCAGTGTTAGTCAGGCCAGTGACAGCGAAGGACATTCCAAAGATTCAGGTAGACAGGCCGTGACAACTCATGGAAGGCCAGGTTCCAGCTCAAGAAACCAACATGGATCTGTCCATGGACAGACAGGAGACAGTTCTAGGCACTCAGAGTCCCACCAAAGGAGCCACAGTGATACTGTCCACCAAAGGTCTGGATCCAGCACGGGGCAAAGACAGGGGAGCCACCATGACCAGTCAAGAGACAGCTCCAGACACGCTGGAACCAGTCATGTACAAACCTCCACTGGATCCGGAAGCACTAGGCACAGGCAATCCAGTGTTAGTCAGGCCAGTGACAGCGAAGGACATTCAGAAGACTCAGGTAGACAGTCCGTGACAACTCATGGAAGGCCTGGTTCCAGCTCAAGAAACCAACATGGATCTGTCCATGGACAGACAGGAGACAGTTCTAGGCACTCAGAGTCCCACCAAGGGAGCCACAGTGAATCTGTCCACCAAAGGTCTGGATCCAGCACGGGGCAAAGACAGGGGAGCCACCATGACCAGTCAAGAGACAGCCCCAGATACGCTGGAACCAATCATGGACAAACCTCCATTGGATCCAGAAGCACTAGGCACAGGCAATCCAGTGTTAGTCAGGCCAGTGACAGCGAAGGGCATTCAGAAGACTCAGGTAGACAGTCCGTGAGAACTCATGGAAGGTCTGGTTCAAGCTCAAGAAACCAACATGGATCTGCCCATGGACAGGCTGGAGACAGTTCTAGGTACTCAGAGTCCCACCAAAGGAGCCACAGTGATACTGTTCACGGAAGGTCAGGATCCAGCACTGGACAAAGGGAGGGGAGCCACCATGAGCAGTCAAGAGACAGCTCCAGACATGCTGGAACCAGTCATGGACAAACCTCCCCTGGATCCGGAAGCACTAGGCACAGGCAATCCAGTGTTAGTCAGGCCAGTGACAGCAAAGGACATTCAGAAGACTCAGGTAGACAGTCCGTGACAACTCAAGGAAGGCCTAGTTCCAGCTCAAGAAACCAACATGGATCTGTCCACGGACAGACAAGAGACAGTTCTAGGCACTCAGAGTCCCACCAAGGGAGCCACAGTGAATCTGTCCACCAAAGGTCTGGATCCAGCACGGGGCAAAGACAAGGGAGCCACCATGAGCAGTCAAGAGACAGCTCCAGACATGCTGGAACCAGTCACGGACAAACCTCTAATGTATCCGGAGGCAACAGACTCAGGCAATCCAGTGTTAGTCAGGCCAGTGACAGCGAAGGACATTCAGAAGACTTAGGTAGACAGTCCGTGACAACTCATGGAAGGTCTGGTTCCAGCTCAAGAAACCAACATGGATCTGCCCATGGACAGGCTGGAGACAGTTCTAGGTACTCAGAGTCCCACCAAAGGAGCCACAGTGATACTGTTCACGGAAGGTCAGGATCCAGCACTGGACAAAGGGAGGGGAGCCACCATGAGCAGTCAAGAGACAGCTCCAGACATGCTGGAACCAGTCATGGACAAACTTCTAATGTATCCGGAGGCAACAGACACAGGCAATCCAGTGTTAGTCAGGCCAGTGACAGCGAAGGACATTCAGAAGACTCAGGTAGACAGTCCGTGACAACTCAAGGAAGGCCTGGTTCCAGCTCAAGAAACCAACATGGATCTCTCCATGGACAGACAGGAGACAGTTCTAGGCACTCAGAGTCCCACCAAGGGAGCCACAGTGAATCTGTCCACCAAAGGTCTGGATCCAGCACAGGGCAAAGACAGGGGAGCCACCATG